GGCATCTCAAAAGGCAAACCTGGCCATTTGCTTCCAAAGAGTCACAGCCTTGAAAACCCTCTGGAGCAGTTCTGTTGCGACACACACGAGGTCTCCATGAGTTGTAATCAACTAGACAGCAGCTCAATGTTAGCATTGGGGATATTGGATAAAAAGCAGGTGGAAACTGGGTGCCCTCTTCATAACACTTTTTCTGTTGTTTTGTTTTGTGAGCACCATGGTTAGGATGAGTGTCAGTGTTAGGCTAGGAGTAGGACTTGGTCTACATTGGGTTTGCAGTTGGGATAATTTATCTATTTATTTTCTAATTTTATTTGTTTTTCATATGTTTATTTATTTATTTAGCAGTGTAGTGGTTATGAATCGGGCTGCTAACCTCAGGGTCAGCAATTGGAAACTACCACCAGTTCCATGGGAGAAAGATGAGGCTTTCTGCTCTCGTAAAGATTTACAGCCTCAGAAACCATTTACAGGGTTGCAATGAGTCAGAACTGACTCCATGGCACAAACAACAACAACAACAACATTGAGCATTTGGATAAGCTGTTTGTAAAGTATTTCATAAGGGATGTTCCAATTGATTTCTTAGCGGGATTTTTCTCTTGTTTAGTTTATAGGCTTGCTTTGTGGCCTGACATATTATGGTCTGTTCTGGAGAATGTTCCATGTGCATGGAAAAAGAATGAGCATTGAGCTGTTGTTAGGTGGAATGTTCTATACATGTCTATGAGGTCTAGTTGGTTGATTATGTTGTTCAGTTCTTCTGTGTCTTTGTTGAGTCCCTCTCTAGTGGTTCTATCCTTCATGAAAGGGGTGTATTAAAATCTCCTGCTAGTATTTTGTACAGTTGTCCATTTCTCTCTTCAATTCTGTTACACCCTGATTTACATATTTTGAGAATCTGTCATTAGGTACATACACATTCATTATGGTTTCGCCTTCTTGTTCAATTGACCCTTTAATCATTATATAATGCCCTGCTTTGTCGTCTATGCTGGCTTTTCCTCATAATCCATTCTGTCAGAATATTGCATTTTTTCCATCCTGTAATGTTTAGTCTCTTTGTGTCTCTGCATCTAAGGTGTGTCTCTTGCAGGCACCACGTGATGTGTCTTGTTCACCTATCTGTTCTGCTATTCTGACATATATATTATCCATTTATATCCAATATAATTATCAACAGGTATAAATTGATTGCTGTCATTTTACTGTGGGAATTTTGTGTCTGTGGTAATACTGTACTGAGTTCATTTTGTGTTTTGTTTGTGTGTGATTTTCTTCATCACTTTTAGAGTTTACTTATTCATGAGTCTCCTCTTTATTTTGAGGAGAGCGTTTACCCATGTTCTTTGAGGTTACCCTGTAATTCATTAATTTATTTCCAAATTTGAAACAATCTGCTCTACATTGTAATCTGCTTGATTTTTCCTTCATCTGAATGCTCTATAACAGCACTAATGAGCTCTAGTAGCTTAGTGGTTACGAATCCGCCTGCGAACCTCAGGGTCAGCAGTTCGAAACTACCAGCTGTTCCGCAGGAGAAAGATGAGGCGTTCTACTCCGGTAAAGATTTACAACCTCGGAAACCCTGTACAGGGTCGCTATGAGTCGGAACCAACTCCAGGGCACACAGCCACCATAACAGCACTAATCCCTCTTTATACTTTGTAGGATTTTAGTTGTTGCAAACTAGTATCTCTAGTTCCCTATTTTCTGTTGTGGCGCTGTAGGATAAGCACTGGACCGCAAGGTCGGTTTGAATTGCAAGATCGGCGGTTCAAACTCACAGGCCGTTCCTCGGAAACCCTTTATAAGGTGGTTATGAGTCTGAATCGACTTCATGAAATTTGATGAGATTAGAGTGAGGATCCCATGAGAGCCTGGATAGGACGGGGCCAAGAAAAGGGATGGGGCGGGGCCAGAGGCGGGACGGACCTTGAGGGACGGGACAGTAGG